TTACATGTTAGCCTTGAATGTGGAAGACTTCGTCTACGAGACGTGGAGGAGACGGGTTCAGTGTCAGTGAACTGTGAACACAAGGTACACATTCACTCCAGGTTCACTCCAAGTTTTGGTGGTTCAACTTACGGACTGATCTGTTCGTTGTCACTCTGTGCAGTATGTTGGTTCACCCATGTGCAGTTGTGTTCACCTTAGGCAGTCTGTTCTGTGTTCACTCTGTGCAGTGTGTTGTGTTCACCCTGTGCAGTGTGTTCACCTTGTGCAGTGTGTTGTGTTCACCCTGTGCAGTGTGTTCACCCTGTGCAGTGTGTTGTGTTCACCCTGTGCAGTGTGTTACTTGTGCGTGTGTTGTGTTCACCCTGTGCAGTGTGTTGTGTTCACCCTGTGCAGTGTGTTGTGTTCACCCTGTGCAGTGTGTTCACCTTGTGCAGTGTGTTGTGTTCACCCTGTGCAGTGTGTTCACCTTGTGCAGTGTGTTGTGTTCACCCTGTGCAGTGTTCTGTGTTCGCCCTGTGCAGTGTGTTGTGTTCACCCTGTGCAGTGTGTTCACCTTGTGCAGTGTGTTGTGTTCACCCTGTGCAGTGTGTTCACCTTGTGCAGTGTGTTGTGTTCACCCTGTGCAGTGTGTTCTGTGTTCACCCTGTGCAGTGTGTTCTGTGTTCGCCCTGTGCAGTGTGTTATGTTCACCCTGTGCAGTGTGTTCTGTGTTCGCCCTGTGCAGTGTGTTGTGTTCACCCTGTGCAGTGTGTTCTGTGTTCGCCCTGTTCAGTGTGTTGTGTTCACCCTGTGCAGTGTGTTCACCCTGTGCAGTGTGTTCACCTTGTGCAGTGTGTTCACCTTGTGCAGTGTGTTGTGTTCACCCTGTGCAGTGTGTTCACCTTGTGCAGTGTGTTGTGTTCACCCTGTGCAGTGTGTTCTACCTGAAAATCCTAAACTAACTGAAGAACTTGCACAGTATATATGAATAAGTTACCTTCATGATTCACGAAATCGTAATAAGACTACAGCAACCCAGGGCACGGATGGGGTTTGAACCTAGTGTTTACGCACTGGTCTGGAGTTTTACGACTCACTCGCCATGGGGTCATACCACATCCGCTCCATGGATGTTGGATAAGTTAACTTCATGCATTAATACTGTGGTGAAGCTTTACACTATGTTGGAGCTCTAATACTGTGAAGCTCCAATATTGTGGTAAAGCTCTAATAACGTGAAGCTCTAATATTGTGGTGATGCTTTAATATTATTGTGTAGCTCTAATATTGTGAAGCTCTAATACTGTGGTGAAGCTGTAAATGGTCCAAGTCAGACTGAAACGTCGTCGTAAGCTCCTCCTCCTCCTCTCTCCTATGTGCGGGTTATTTGTGTATACCTGGAGAGGGTTTCGGGGGGTCAACACCCCCGCGGCCGGTCTGATGACCAGGCCTCATGGTGGATCAGGGCCTGATCAACCAGGCTGTTACTGATGGCCGCACGCAGTCCAACGTACGAGCCACAGCCCGGCTGATCCGGCATTGACTTTAGGTATCTGTCCAGCTCTCTCTTGAAGGCAGCCAGGGGTTTATTGGTAATTCCCCTAATGCTTGATGGGAGGCTGTTGAACAGTCTTGGGCCCCGGACACTTATGGTGTTTTCTCTTAGTGTACCAATGGCGCTCCTACTTTTAATTGGGGGTATTTTGCATCGCCTGCCCAGTCTTTTACTTTCGTAGGGAGTAATTTCTGTGTGCAGATTCGGGACCATTCCTTCCAGGATTTTCCAAGTGTAGATTATGATATATATCTCTCTCTCTCTCCTGCGTTCCAACGAGTACAAGTGCTTCCAAGCGTTGCCAGTAGTTAAGGTGCTTGACAGAACATACGTGCAGTAAAGGATCTCTGTACACTTTCTAGATCCCGCAATTTCACCTGCTTTGAATGGAGATGTTAATGTACAGCAGTATTCCAGCCTAGAGAGAACAAGTGATTTGAAAAGGATCATCATTGGGTTGGCATCTCTCGTTTTGAACGTTCTCATTATCCATCCTATCATTTTCTTTGCACTTGTGATCGTGACACTGTTGTGATCCTTGAAAGTGAGATCCTCAGACATTACTACTCCCAGGTCCCTTATATTATTTTTCCGCTCTATTGTATGGCCAGAGTTTGTAGTATACTCTGTTCTAGTTATTATCAGCTTTCCATAACGGAGTAGTTGGAATTTGTCCTCATTGAACATCATATTGTTTACCGTTGTCCACTGGAAAACTTTGTTTATATCTTCTTGGAGGTTAACCGCGTCCTCAGCAGATGACAGCCTCATGCAGATCCTAGTATCATCCGCAAAGGGTGATACGGTGCTGTGGTGTATATCTCTGTCTATGTCTGATATGAGGATGAGGAATAAGATGGGGGCGAATACTGTGCCTTGTGAAACAGAGCTCTTCACTAGGACAGCCTCCGATTTAATTCTGTTGACCACTACACTTTGTGTTCGATTTGTTAGGAAGTTGAAGATCCATCTCCCCACTTTCCCAGTTATTCCTTTAGCACGTATTTTGTGCGCTATTACGCCATGATCGCATCTGTCAAACGCTTTTGCAAAGTCTGTGTATATTACATCCGCATTCTGATTTTCTTACAGTGCATATCATAGTGATCCAGTAGTTGTGAGAGGCAGGAACGACCTGCCCTGAACCCATGTTGCCCTGGATTGTGCAGATTTTGGGAATCCAAGTGATTTGCAATCCATCTTCTTAGCACTCTTTCAAAGATTTTTATGATGTGGGACGTCAGAGCTATTGGTCTATACTTCTTAGCTAATGCTTTGCTGCCACCTTTATGGAGTGGGGTTATATCCGTTGTTTTAAGTGACTGTGGAATTTCACCCATGTCCAAGCTCCTCCTCCATAGTGTACTTATGGCACGCGAGAGGGGTTTCTTGCAGTTCTTAATGAATACAGAATTCCACGAGTCTGGGCCCGGGGCTGAGTGCATGGGCATGTTGTAAATGGCTTTTTCAAAGTCTATCGGAGTTAGGGTAATGTCAGAAATCTGGCATACATTTATGGAGTTTTGAGGCTCATTCATGAAGAAATCATTTGTGTCGTCGATCCTCAGACAGATTAGTGGCTCACTAAACAGAGTCGTACTCGAATTTCAGTATTTCACTCATGTCCTTGTTGTCATCTGTGTAAGTCCCATCCTGTCTGAGTAAGGGCCCTATACTAGATGTGGTATTTGCCTTGTTTTTGGCATATGAAAAGAAATATTTCGAATTTCTTTCAATTTCACTAATAGCTTTAAGCTCCTCCTGTCTCTCCTGGTTCCTGTAAGAGTCATTTAACTTAAGTTCGATAGTTTCCACTTCCCTGGTCAGCGCCTCCTTTCGTGTATCAGATATTCTAGCATTCCTGAGGAGCTCAGTGACTCTTCGTCTTCTGTAGAGGAAGTGTCTTTCTCCAGTTTACTCCTGATCTTCTTCTTTCTTAGGGGAATATGCCTAGAACATGCTTCAGCTGCCAGGAAGTTGATCCTTTCAAGGCACTGGTTTGGATCCATGTCATTTAAGATATCTTCCCAACATGTTTCATTTAAGACATGGTTTACCTGGTCCCAGTTGATGTTCTAGTTGTTGAAGTTGTATTTTGTGAAGACACCTTCACAGGTACATGCATTCTGCCGATCAGGACCCCTATGCATGTACGTCTGGACTTCGTTTTGGTTGTGATCGGAATTAGTTGTTTTTGATATTCTTATGTCTCTTATCAGGTCCTTATTATTTGTGAAGATAAGGTCAAGTGTGTTTTCTAGTCTTGTTGGCTTCACTATCTGCTGGCTTAAGGTGTGTTTATCGCAGAGACTTAGAAGCTCATGTGTGTGTGACCTTTCATCTGCGCTACCTATATAACCATATATCTCTCCCGCCTGCGTTCTCGGGAGTGCGGGTTGAGGAACTTCAAGCGTTCCCAGTAATTGAGGTGTTTAACCGTAGTTGTGTGTGTCGTGAAGGTTCTCTGTACATTTTTGTTCTAGTCACGGTATTGTGTTTTTTTTTTTTTTTTTATGGTGAAACTATAATACCGTGATCTACAATTGTGGTGACGCTCTAAAACTGTGAAGCTCATACTGTGATGCTCTAATACTATAGTGAAGCTCTCATGCGCTGGTAGAGAGATGGTGATGCTCTTGCACAGTGATGCTCTAATACTGCAAAGCTCTAATACTGTGATGGTGATTAGAGACGGTTATACTGGGTTGCTATTGCATATTGTTACACGTACACCGTCAGAAACTAAGCTCTTGGCTTGTCCACAGTCACCCATCCAGTTACTGGTCAAACCCAACGGTGCTACATTACTCCATTACCATATATTTAATGTATAGAGATAGGGCAGCTAGAAATTTCATGTTTACACAGAGGCCTATCATATATTTCCTGTATAGAGAAAAGCCTACTAAATATTTCCAGTATGTCCCAGATTCTTAACTGTCGATTTTTCAAATACTGTTTTCAGCAAAATTCTCGATTTACATTCTTTAAGTAATGTTTGGGTAGTGTTTATTCGATTGTCGTCTATTAACAAAAATTAACCAATAATAACATCATACCAGGTTTAAGAGGTTTAAGAATGTAAAAAGCGCAAACAGAAAACTGGGAAACATCGAACAAATAATGCAATGTAGTACATAAAAGTACACGAATAGTATACAATACCGACAAGATGAAGAATCAGACACATGCAACATCTGGATATATTTATTTGTAGACGTTTCGCCAACCAGCGGCTTTACTGCAATGACAAAGCCACTGGTTGGCACGACGTCTACAAATAAAGATACCCAGATGTAGCACATGTGTCTAATTTTTCATCAAACAATACAATGCACTGTTTAAGATTCGTGAACAGTAACTTATCCTACTGTAAAACAGTGAATTGTCGATTTCCCTAAACATTAGCTTAAAACATAAAGAGACAGTGACATGCTTGTAAGAACTGAGTTAATATACTCACCACCTTCGTCGGTCATAACAGCGACAGTGGTAGTCGGTCCGTCTCCTTCAGGATTAAACACTTGTAGTGCCACCAAGTACTGGGTGTAGGTGCGGAGGCCCTGTACAACGTGACTCTGAAACCCCCAGAAACATGTTAGTGGAGGCAATGGTACAGCCCGAGGCAGCTTCCTTTCACCTCCCCTCGTAAAGTTTCAAGCTGTGTGATGTTTATCAGTGACTGTATAGTGGCTCCAACTCCAATAATTGTATGCCGGCCTCAAAATATACAAGTAAAGTTTTATCCCCAGTACGAAAACACGCAGATTCAACTGCATTAAAGGTAGGCGTTTGTTGGATAAATGGCACAATAACAATAAAATTTATGCTTAAATTTTTGTAAATATTGAATTTAGAGCGTTGTTTTCAACTGTAAACCAAACAAGTTTAGAGAGAGCAAAGGGAGGAATACTCTTCATCACAAATTTGGTTTATAAGCGTGACCGTCACTAATAAATCACAGTGAGTAAAACTTATGGATGAATTCAGGTACCTCAGGAGCCACCTACAGGCTGGTTATCTAACGTCTAGTACATCACATCACACAGCAAACTGGTTTCTACCCTTTACACTACACATGCACTATATACAATCTAATTCTATTACTGCACTAGTGCAATACTATCTGTGCTATTTCATGCTAGGATAACAAACCATGCACCGCAACGATTATGGCAGATACCGCAGATGACAAATGTGAGAGTTGTCCTTCCCAAGGCTGATACACGATTATAGAAAATGTACCAGCCAAATGGCACTCCAGAGAAAATGGAGTAGTCTTCCTCCGTCGAGCTTCTTGAAGGGTAACTAAAACAACTCTGAAAACCCGCGCTTTATGCTATCTTGTTTCTTTTTTCCGCGTTACCTTTAATTTAAAATAGTTATAAAAATTTCATAAGCTGTTTGTAAATAATTTCAACTTTATTATTACAATGAGAATGCACGCAGTTTCGTACTTCATTTTACTATTATTGAATTCTAATTTCGTCTAACCGAGTGAGAGAAAGAAGATATTCACCTTTCATGATCCAACAGTTCTATGATTTCCAGAATACATTAGAAAACAGAATCATTCATTTGGATCAGAATTTACGGTAGTACATTTAAAAAAAAAATCGGGATTCAGCCCAGAAAGACTTCAACTGGTTAGATATATGCCCTTAGTCTAAACTGGGGAGGGCTGAAGTTACGAGAATGTGTATTTAGAATGAGTGTATTTAAGTCTCCCGTGCACGTTTCATCTTGACATACATACCTGGCTTCGTGAGGTTTGTGTGTTGGTGTTGATCTGATTGCGGTATTGGTTTGGATAAAAATATATTTAAAAAATATATTTCTAAGTAAAATGAAGATTTGTTTTTGCTATATTTATTAGGCAGGAATTAACACACACCACAAACACACACATATCACATACACACACACACACCACATACACACACACACACCACATACACACACACACACCACACACACACACACACACCACACACAAACACACACCACACTACCACCACCACCACCACACACTACACACCACACACTCACCACCACCACCACACACTACCACTCATACACACTACCACCACCACTCACACTACTACCACCACCACTCACACTACTACCACCACCACCGCCATCACTCACATTACCACCATCACCACTCGCACTACTACCATCACCACACACACACGCTACCACCACCACCTCTCATGTACATACTACCACCTCTCACACCGATACCACCACCACACACATTACCACGACACACAACACACACACACACACACACACACACACACACACACACACACACACACACACACACACACACACACACACACACTACACCACCACCATAACCACTCGCACACTACCACCACCACTCGCACATTACCGCCACACCACCACCACTCACACTACCGCCACTCACACACTACCACCACCACTCACACATCACTCACACACTACCACCACCACCTCTCATGTACATACTTACCACCTCTCACACGATACCACACCACCACAACACATACACACACACACACACACACACACACACACACACACACACACATCCACACCTAATATTTACACCACACATTGCCCTTAGGACATCTCCACTGCCTCCAACCGTCTCCTCGCTGCTGCATTTACCACCCAAGCTTCACATCCATATAAGAGTGTTGGTACTACTATACTTTCATACATTCCCTTCTTTGCCTCCTTAGATAACGTTTTTTGACTCCACATATACCTCAACGCACCACTCACCTTTTTTCCCTCATCAATTCTATGATTAACCTCATCCTTCATAAATCCATCCGCCGACACGTCAACTGCCAAGTATCTGAAAACATTCACTTCTTCCATACTCCTCCTCCCCAATTTGATATCCAATTTTTCTTTATCTAAATCATTTGATACCCTCATCACCTTACTCTTTTCTATGTTCACTTTCAACTTTCTACCTTTACACACATTCTCAAACTCATCCACTAACCTTTGCAATTTTTCTTTAGAATCTCCCATAAGCACAGTATCATCAGCAAAAAGTAACTGTGTCAATTCCCATTTTGAATTTGATTCCTCATAATTTAATCCCACCCCTCTCCCGAACACCCTAGCATTATATATATATATATATATATATATAATATATATATATATATATATATTTATATATATATATATATATATAATGGTAGCATTTCCCAGTACAGTATGTGGCGGGACTGACCCCTTCTTATTGGAGTTACCATTAGCAGGGTCGATCGAGCAGCGAGCTTGTAAATTCTTGCCAGCGTTTCGATCCTCTGCAATCCATGGACAGGTTGCAACTGTTTATTGCAGTTTTCCGGTTTCACACACACACACACACACACACACACACACACACAAACAGGCCTAGTGTCTAATCGACATGTGCCTAGGACAAAATGGTAACTAACACACACACACACCACATAGGATCACACAATAATACATAAGTGTTACATTCTGTTGTAACCCAAAATTGGGTTGCCAGAGTGCAAGACAGAAAACCACACCCTAACACCCACACACACATACACACACGCACACACACACACACACAAACAGGCCTAGTGTCTAATCGACATGTGCCTAGGACAAAATGGTAACTAACATATGGGCGCCTAGCAAACCTAATAGCAGCATTCCGCCATCTTAATAAGGAATCGTTCAGGACCCTGTACACTGTGTACGTTAGGCTCATACTGGAATATGCGGCACCAGTTTGAAACCCACGTTTAGTCAAGCACGTAAAGAAACTAGAGATAGTGCAAAGGTTTGCAACAAGACTAGTCCCAGAGCTAAGAGGTGTCTTACGAGGAGAGGTTAAGGGAAATCAACCTGATGACACTGGAGGACAGGAGAGATAGGGGGGACATGATAACGACATACAAAATACTGAGAGGAATTGACAAGGTGGACAAAGACAGAATGTTCCAGAGATTGGACACAGTAACAAGGGGACACAGTTGGAAGTTGAAGACACAGATGAATCACAGGGATGTTAGGAAGTATTTCTTCAGCCACAGAGTAGTCAGGAAGTGGAATAGTTTGGGAAGCGATGTAGTGGAGGCAGGATCCATACATAGCTTTAAGCAGAGGTATGATAAAGCTCAGGGTTCAGGGAGAGTGACCTAGTAGCGATCAGTGAAGAGGCGGGGCCAGGAGCTCGGACTCTACCCCTGCAACCTCAACTAGGTGAGTACAACTAGGTGAGTACACACACACACACACACACACACACATACATACATAAAACAGGCCTAGTGTCTAATCGACATGTGCCTAGGACAAAATGGTAACATACACACATACACATACATAAAACAGGCCTAGTGTCTAATCGACATGTGCCTAGGACAAAATGGTAACTAACACACACACACACACACACACATACATAGCTTTAAGCAGAGGTATGATAAAGCTCACGGCTCATGGGAGAGTGACCTAGTAGCGATCAGTGAAGAGGCGGGGCCAGGAGCTCGGACTCGACCCCCGCAACCTCAACTAGGTGAGTACAACTAGGTGAGTACACACACACACACACACACACACACGGTTTTAAGAAGAGGTATGACAAAGCTCAGGAAGCAGAGAGAGGACCCAGTAGCGATCAGTGAAGAGGCGGGGTCAGGAGCTGAGTCTCGATCCCTGCAACCACAATTAGGTGAGTACACACACACATACACACATACACATACACATACATAAAACAAGCCTAGTGTCTAATCGACATGTGCCTAGGACAAAATGGTAACTAACACACACACACACACACACACACACACACACACACACACACACACGAGATTACTCCAAAAGCTGGAGGACCAGGCAGGGATAACACTGCGATGGATCAGAGAATACCTGTCGGGAAGACAAGAGCTAGTCATGGTACGTGACGAGGTGTCAGAGTGGGCACCTGTGACGAGCGGAGTTCCCCAGGGGTCAGTCCTTGGACCGGTGCTGTTTCTGATATATGTGAACGACAAGACGGAAGGAATAGACTACGAAGTGTCCCTGTTTGCAGATGATGTGAAGTTGATGAGAAGAATTCAATCGGACGAGGACCAGAAAGAACTACAATGGGATATGGACAGGCTGCAGGCTTAGTCCAGAAACTTGCTCCTGGAGTTCAATCCCACCAAGTGCAAAGTCATGAAGATTGGGGAAGGACAAAGAAGACCACAGACAGAGTACAGTCTAGGGTGCCAGAGACTACAAACATCACTCAAGGAAAAGGATCTTGTGGTGAGTATAACACCAGGCACATCTGAGGCGCACATCAACCAGGTAACTGCTGTAGCGAACGGGCGCCGAGCAAACATAAGAACAGCACTCCGACATCTCAATATGGAATCGTTCAGGTCTCTGTACAGGACTGTGTACGTTAGGCCTATATTGGAGTATGCAGCACCAGTTTGGAACCCATAGCTAGCCAAGCACGTAAGGAAATTAGAGAAAGTGCAAAGGTTTGCATCAAGAATAGTCCTGGAGCTAAGGGGCATGTCCTACGAGGAGAGGTTAAGGGAAATCTACC